TGCAATGCTGTGCGGCGGCCAGCTTGTTCGAGTTCCTGATGGATGGACAGGGACGACGGGAGACTTGAATAAGGGTCGTGGAGGGCGCTACCTTTACATCGTTTCGAAAACGGCCTCCGAATAAGTAGTAGTGTTTTTTTTTGAACTACCGGCATGCGTTGGGCAGTCGACATACGACATGGGCAGTAGACCGGTATCGCAAGTGGTGAGTGCGTAGCATCAAATAAGCAGCAATTCCCCATTAAGTGATGCGCTAAATCGCCTCCTGTTGTTGACAATTGGATCCGTTTTGCGTCCAGATTGATGCGGGGCTTTTTTGGACACAGACCAAACTGTGGTATCGTTGCGCGTGGCATCGTTGGGGGATCGCGGAAGGGAGGCGGGTGCCGGCTGGGGAGTCGTGGGATATGGGACGGTAGCGGTGGCGCGGGGGCGGGAGGGTGGGAGGGGGTGTGGAGGGGGTGTGGAGGGGGTGTGGAGGGGGGAAGGAGGAGAGGCGTATTGAATATTGATTATTGTGGTGATTCCTTCATCACATCCTTGACTCGCAGTCATTCCTCTCTCTTCACATGATGTCGTTGGCCAGTCGTTATCACAATTATGGTTCTGAAGGCAGTTTATCATAGGTAGGTGTCACGTGGCCACGTGTACAAGTTGAACACGTGGGACCGCATGGGCGGGATTACAGTAGGTGTACATGCAGGTAGCAGTGAAAGTGAAATAGTGTGGGTTAGACTATTTTTGGGCATTGATGGTTCGCAGGGGTGTGTGGCATGGGCGTGTGGCGTAGTCTGGCGTGAAACAGTAGTTTGCTGTGGTGTGGTAACGGTTACATTGACACACAGTAATTTCAGTGCAGGCGCAAGTAGTGGAGGGGGTGGTGGATTTTAACTGAATTCTAAGTATCGTGACACTATTTTGATAGAGGCGGCTTCACTCGGAGACACAAGGCGGGCGGCAGCTGGAACGGTCCCAGCTCTCCCAGGAGAACACTGTGGTTCCATCCAGATAAGACACAGTACAAATAGGACGATGCCAATAAGGCGCTATCTACTCAGTAGGAAATAAAGGCGCCGTCGCCTCCGCCACGACCGGCGGTCGGAGGCATCGGACCAGTTCTTGGCATAACAAACACAGAGGCACCGGTGGTCTTCCGGTGGTCTTCCGCAGGCCGCGCCACGAATATCACCGAGATATTTCTCACCGAGATATTTCTCACCGAGATCTTTTTTACCGGTCGTGTAGGCCGCGCGGGCACGCCGCGCCCCGCCGTTGGCCCGCGGAATATTTGGGGATTAAGGGATTTAGGGCACGCCGCGCCCCCCGTCGCGGAATATCTCGGCCACATCTCCGACGCCCGCGTGAGCCGCCACATTTCGCGCCCCCATTTCGCGCCCCCAACTTCCACTCGCGCACGCCTCTCAACCCCCGCGTCGCAGAGCCCACGCCCCGCCCGCCGCCAACCTGCGCGTCGGAAAACAACAAGGACTGTCTCCGCCTGCGCCATCTCCGCCTGCTGCTCACCAGCGACAACGCAGCACGCACGAATGGAATAACCCCGCGCAGGGACACCCAACCCCCAACGCTTGCATTGCACGCAATTCCCCACCGCAACACACCTTTCGCCATCACCGGCAGAACCGCTCCATTCCGCCCCCACCTGCACCCAACACATACCCTTGCCCCCACACACCCTTTTCCTTACCCACCAGCCACGCAACCCGTTGCCCCGCCGTCCAGGCACTCACTCCCCTACCTTCCCCCGCCGTGAGCCCGGTACGGCGGCGGGGCCTGCTGCCGGTGCGCGTCGAGCGGGATCGGCGCGTGCTCGCACACGGGGCACTTGGAGCACGACGAATACTGCCCGTGCGCGAGCACTCGCCACACGCACCGCCCGCGGCACTTCTCCACCCCGCACCCGCGCGGGAACAGCCGGTGGCACAGGTAGATCTGGTGCTGCGCCCTGCTGTCCCCGCAGGACCGACATCGCCCGTTCCGGTTGAACACGTCTGTGCCGAACACGACCATCTTGCAATGTTTTAAATTCAAACACTGGTAATCAATTTTCTGCGGGGGCGATGCAAGCGCGGCTTTATGGCGGCTGCCCGGCCCTGAGAGGCGCTCATCTTGAATGAATATTTATGGACGTGGTCGGAAAAGCTTTTTCTCGCAATCGTATCTGGGGAAACACATCGAAAGTGCTCACGTTTTTTTCTCTTTTTTTTGTTTTGTTTTGTGAAGGGCAATGTACGCTTAGGATATAACGATCTCGCTTGATTCCGGGATGCGGCGAAACAGAGTCAATGGAAGCGGAATCGTGTGAATCACCTCTCGATCCCCGCTGCTCTCGAGAGAAAGGACAAGCGAACGATAAAACGAACGCTGCTGCTGGTTGATTGACACTCCACTTTTCGCAAGTTGCCTCTGGAACGTCGTTCATTCGTGTGAAAGAAAGCGATATGACATTTGCTCTGTGTATTGGCTATTGAGATTCGTTCGGGTGGTTCCCCTACAATCTGTACTGCTTGTATGAAATTGGCGTCTTGGCGTAATCGGGGGCGATGAGGGGCGCTTCCAGAACAAGCCCAGGGATGCAGTACACAAGTGCTTAGACTGAATGCATGCGCACGTGCTTACGTCAAGCAACGAGCAGCAAAAAAAAAAAAAAAAAAAAAAAAAAAAGGATGTTGCTTTCGCGTGTTTTGTTTTGGTGGCGTTTGGTTCAAAATATCTCTATGCGTAAAAACCGTGATCGGAATCTCATTAAATAGCTGCAAAAGAGTCTACCCACCGAAATTGAACTACTCCAGTACATACAGTAGGAGAGGGGGAGGAGGCATCCAACGTCACAGTGAGTGAATGGGAGAGGCATCAGATTACTCTCCCATTCACTCACTGCATCCTCCACGACTAGCTTCACACTCTGCGAGGGGGCCTCGAGTGCGAGGGGGCCACATAGAATTGCAATGCAACACATTTGTCTATTGCAAGCTCGACAGAAAGCGCACGCCGTGTCTACTGGTCCTCACCTTCGTCATAGAAAACCTCTAGGCTGGAGATTTTTCCATGCTGTTGACAGCATGGAAAACATCACTAGATATTTGTCTGGGAGTAGCCATAATTGGTGCAGAGTTTTGCATTGAAAGACCTTTCGCGAGTGATGCATCACAACACATACTGGAGCCCCTCCAGTTAGGTTCACAGCCCCAACCAGGGACAGATGTCAACAACTCACGTGTATCATACAGTAATCTCATAGTCAGAGGAAGAAAAAAGTATGTATCCTGAGCTTATCGATGAGTTTCTCGGACCCCAAAAGACGCACTTGCATGCTGTTCTCAGGAGAAAGATGATTAGAATCGGAACTCGGGAGGCTGCACTTAGTTGGCCCGTTCGCCGATTCTTTTCCACACACACACACACATAACGGGTACAATATATATACAGTATACAATTTCTGCTGTTGTCAATTTTAACCAAACATATGTAGCTGGTGCATCCATGAATGTTCGAGATTTAAAATGGTGAATACTATGTTTAGGCTCAAGTGAAAGTTCCCAAGAAAGCTTGCGGAAAGAGGTGCAAAGTTGTTAGATATAAGCAATGCGCATTGTCCGATTTGCCTGCCTCTATCATAGGCAGCCTGTTTGCATCAGACCTACTGTACACATGTTTGCGCTAGAATAACAGGTGGCCATTTTATTGGGGAGCGATTTTCTGTGGTGCCCCGATTTTTGTGTATACGTAAACCGGCTGGTGGAATACACTACACTGGCACTATGCGGCCCATGGCGGCTGGAATTGATGCATGCAGACGTTGTGTAGAAACGCCACAGCCTTTTTCGAGTGCCGTTTGCACCCATGAAACGTCTTCCACCTGCGCTCCAGTGCCGTTACAGAATTATAGAGCAAAACCTTGTCGAAGGAGTCAAGAATAGTTTAGTTTGAGCTCAACCGGAGACATTTTGATTGGGTTAAATGAATAATGAGTGAATGCCTTTTAGGTGGCAGTGGTTCGACGGTGCTTGAATCTGTGTGAGAGGAACGAGTGCATTGCTGCTCCATGTCATAGAGATGAGACTGGATCGAGATTTTCGTCACAGCAGCAGACGCATACCGATTGAAGGCGATGTCCCTATGCCCCCACTGATGGCGGTACCAACCATCTGTACTGCAATTTTGCAGCCGCTTTCTGCATCGCCACAGTACTGCCCACAGCTCTGAAGATCTGTGGATATCACTAGTGGTTCTTCTTCTCTGCTCTGCAAAAGGGTTAATCTCTCGTCATCCCTTCACACTCTTCATATGCTTTATTCAATGACTATTGTTGCGAATGCAACAACAGTGCCTTCGCAATCGCACCGTCTCTTCACGGTATTGCCCCGAACAATTGCTACTGTACCTGCCTGAATGCACAGCGATCACTGTAGTACTCTATTATGAGAATGCTTGAAAGTAACCACTGTCTTTCTCTTCCAGCTCTTTCGCAAGGCCCCCGCTACACTAACCTAAACCCTACACCCTACTACGATACAGGTACAGTACTTCAAGCTTCTCACCCGCACTGCCCGACTCGGGGCTTAAACTTGCGAATGCGGCACGCTTCTACTACGACACAGCGTGAACATTAGTGAGATGCTCACAATTCCAGCTGAATCCCGGCCTCCTTCAGGGCAATCGAAGAGGGGCCATGCATCCTAGATTACTTTCTGCTGACTCGATCGAATTACCCTCACGGGAGAGGAAAACGTGTAGCCCTTTGAAGAGTACAGCTCAGCCCTTTGAAGAGTATAGCTCTGCAGCTGGCCTCGCCCTCGCTGCGAACACCAGCAGCACATGTACCGGGCAGAAACAGTGGGTTTACCATCATACAACATCGCTGTCCATCGTCCTCTATAATAACATTGGAAAATTCCTGAGAGGCGGTCAAGTGAGGCGGCAAACTGATCTGTTCCACACACCTCCGTTTTCCAGTTCGCAGTCGCGCTTCCACTCTCCCAACCCTCTCTTCCCAATCACAGTTTGCAATATGGCAGCTACTAGCTCCCACGTCCACGGATCTGATTGCTGTACAGCACAATGGCATGGTAACAAACATGTACAAACAAGCTCGTTTCGGAAGTGGGCATCCAATCCTTGAATGAACGATATCGTCGATAAAACACGAAGTGTAAGCGATATGCCCCACAACGCCTCCCAACTTCCCCTCTCCCAGCGCCTCTTCTCCCCTCACAGTTCGCAGAAGCCGCCTTCCCCCTCCTCAAACCACTTGATTCGCCGCGCGCCCTTTTCAAGAGCGCTCTGTCCACTGCGGTGGACCGTGTGCCGCAGTCGCGTAGGTCTGACCTTCACGCACCCTTCTGTGTTGCTCCGGATAAGCGGCGACTCGTTTGAAGTGCGCCGTCCGGCCTATGGCACGTGGACGCACATCAAAATGGCATGCGCTCGGCGAGCCGGCAAACCAACCATTTCGCCTACCGGAGAGATCAGTTTGGGCTGCCCCGCATGCTCCTCGTACAGAAGTGTCCTCCACAACGGTTGCGCGCAGCGCTATTTCTATTTGTAGCAGTGCGGCCCTCCGCCCCCCCGCATGAGCTTCTCCCCCACGCAACGCGCCGACAACGTCTTGCAGTTCTTGGCGTACTTTTGCAACTGTCCGCGACAATGCCGCAACTGTACGGCGACGAGATCTACCACGAGGAATCGGGGCTGTGCCTCAAGTGCGGCGGCGGCGAGGGCGCGCACCAGCTCATCTACTGCACGCGGCAGATCATGCTGTACGGGAACATTCGCCAGTGCGGTGGCATCTGCATGTACCGCATGGAAAGGTCCGGTGCATACAACTTGTGCTCCATCTGCCCAAACTGCAGGAGGAAGCCCATTGGCTTTGGATCCTCCCTCAGCCAGAGGAGGAGGGGCGACCCGTGAACGCGAGAGAGCGCGCGGTGTGCCTCGTCAATGTAGCATAGAGAAGAGGTGTTTGCGTCTCTCCTTCCTAATAAACCCACCACTTTGACCACGGGCTCCCCCCTCCCCGGCAACGTGGAACGAGTCGCCACAGCTGTCACCACCCGCCTTCCTCGCAGGCTTCTGCGCGGCAGTCTCCCCACCAGACCCACACTGAGCACCGCCCCCGTCCCGGGGCACGCGCCGCACAACCATTTACAGCGGTGTTTCAGTGGCGAGCGGGCGCCCACTCTCCACCGTCGTCACCGGGAAGTCCAAGCCGTCTGCGCATTCGCCCGGCCCTCTCACATGCGCCACCATGTTATACGCTGCCCGTCCACGTTGCGCAAGCCGCTTCGCAATCCCCCACGTACCGGCCCGCGTCGCGCACGGAACCCGCAGTCTCCCGCACTTGCATCTTGCATCTCCCCTTACGTGCGCGTAAGGGCGCGAGGGAGTACGCAGGGGGCGGGGGGGGGGGCGATTAGGGCATGTTACCAATACTGGAGGACACCTACAAGTAACCCGGGGGGGGGGGGGGGGGGGGGGGGGGGGG